TAGTGGAGCCAGCTGACATGACTTTGTTGAGTAAATTCAACACTTCAGTTTTTTAGAGTGCAGCAACATCTTCTTTCATGACGAGTTCAAACAGATTTCATCTGTAACAAGTAACTATGTGTTAAATATTAAAGTAAAGATGTAGAAAAATCATTTTTTGCTTTAAAATGTAACAAAATAAAAGTAAAAGTAGCTATTTAAAAATAATTGGTAAAATTACAAATCCTCAAAAAAACTACTTAAGTGCTATAACAAAGTAAATGTACTTAGTTACTATAAACCTCTGATGGTGAAACAGCCTGCCATACTTCCCACCACCTCCTGATTATATTGAAACAACCTGCCATACTTGTTACCACCTCCTGATTATGTGGTGAAACAGCCTGCCATACTTTCTACCACCTCCTGTTTATAAAGTTAAACAGCCTACCATACTTTCTACAACCTGCTGATTATATGGTGAAACAACCTGCCATACTTTCTACCACCTCCTGATTATATGGTGAAACAACCTGCCATACTTTCTACCAACTCCAGATTATATGGTGAAACAACCTGCCACACTTTCTACCAACTCCAGATTATATGGTGAAACAACCTGCCATACTTTCTACCACCTCCTGGTTATAAAGTTAAACTACCTGCCATACTTTCTACAACCTGCTGATTATATGGTTAAACAGCCTACCATACTTTCTACCGCCTCCAGATTATATGGTGAAACAACCTGCCACACTTTCTACCAACTCCAGATTATTTGGTGAAACAACCTGCCATACTTTCTACCAACTCCAGATTATTTGGTGAAACAACCTGCCATACTTTCCACCACCTCCTGTGAGGTTAAACAACCTGCCATACTTTCCACCATCTCCAGATTATATGGTGAAACAACCTGCCATACTTTCTACCAATTCCAGATTATATGGTGAAACAACCTGCCATACTTTCTACCACCTCCTGTGAGGTTAAACAACCTGCCATACTTTCCACCATCTCCAGATTATATGGTGAAACAACCTGCCATACTTTTTACGTCCTCCAGATTATATGGTAAAACAACCTGCCATACTTTTTATCACCTCTAAATTAAATGGTGAAACAACCTGCCATAATTTTTTTTACCACCTCTGCATTATATGGTGCAACAACCTGCCATACTTTTTTACCACCTCTGCATTATATGGTGAAACAACCTGCCATACTTTTTTACCACCTCTGCATTACATGGTGAAACAACCTGCCATACTTTTTAATCACCTCTAAATTAAATGGTGAAACAGCCTGCCATACTTTCCTCCACGTCCAGATTATATGGTAAAACAACCTGCCATATTTTCCACCACCTCCAGATTATATGGTGAAACAACCCTGGCTGGCTGTAGATGTGTCATTACCATTACATTATTTTTCCACCTTACTAAATGGAAACCAGTTCTTGGTTTCTACACTGGACATGTTTACTGGGCGGTACACGGTGTCATCAGCACCTGGAGTCAGGATGTTGCTGATCCGGATCCGCCCAGCAGCTCGGCGTCACAGTACCGACAAGATGGCTGAGATTACGGGTCCAAAGTGAGGGAGGAGGAAACAACAGTGGAGAGCTCTTCTTGTTGGAGATGGTGGAGCTTCAGAACCGCTGAGGGGTCCAGTTCGGGGCGGGGAGTGGCGGAGARACACGCTAGGTGTGTCCCGGACTCGGGTCTGCGGGTCCAGTTGGTCCGGATGTAAACAAACTGTGGTCCAAAGCGGTACGCAGACGGAGCATTCGTCATGGAGCTAACCTGCTAACAATGTTTACTAGCTGACAGCACCGTCAGGCAGAGGAGACGCTTCCACCAAGTGACGCTCGGAGTTATTTTTAAATGAATAGTTGCTGCTTCTGAATATTTACTATGAGCTAATGTTTGTGGCAGCAGCACAACTTTTAACACGCAGGAAATCAGGCTGAACTCCTCCAGCTGGTTAGCCGCAATGTTAGCAAGCTGGTTAGCATGCTAGCGTTGCGGATTTCTCACAGCTCGGGAGTTAGCATTAGCAACTGTTCTGAGTTTGTTCCGACACAGAAAAGGTTCCGCTGTTTGTGAGAAGGACACTTTTTTAAACCACTGCTCGGAAAGTAGCGGCAGCACCTCCTGGGACACCGGGAGACCTGATCTGGGTCGCTGACATTGAAGGCATCACAGCCGCGGGGACTGTGAGGACCAGCGGAGCTGAGGAGAACCGAGCCCCAAGTCGGCTTCGTCATGGCCCACTCTCCCGTACAAGGGAACCTGCCGGGGATGCAGGTGAGCTGAGGGGAAACAGGTGTAYAACAACAAAATATACAGTTCCTCTCTTCTGCTGTGGGTTTCACTGATCTGAAAGCAGCTTGTGGCACGTTTACAGACTTTGGTGCTGCTCGTAAATTTAAACACCGACATGTTATCTGTTTAAAACACAGAGTACAGCTAACAGTAAAGTAGGGTCAAACTCTAAATATATCATATAATAGGTTTCTGCACACAGCATTGTGGGTAGGGGTCAGAGGTTATTCTATATAAACAAACCCTCATTCAGTGGGTGGGCACAGGTCTGCTGTAGCAGAACTTTTTTTTTTTTTTCAGTGAGCAGATTAGCTTCTTCACTCATCTTGAAAACCGTTTGTGGACTTAAAGTAGCCAAAACCTGGCTAACAAGCTAATATTAACAGGCTTATTTAGCAGTTAACATTAGCTTCTGATGTCCTGGTGTGTGTGTGTGTGTGTGTGTGTGTGTTTCTGTTATCTATTTACGACCATTTCCAGTATACACACCTACCTTGTCAAGACCAGTAGTCCTAATGGGGACCAAAGACTGGTCCTAATACGGTGGAACTCCATTGGTGGGTTGGGTTTAGGACCAAGGTTTAGGTTAGTTTCAGGGTCAGGTACCTGTGAGGTTAGCCTTAGGGTTTGTGGTCAGGGTTAGGCTGTAGAAATGTAATGGAAGTCAATGAACGGTCCTAATAAGGTTAGAAATACAAACCTGTGTGTGTTTGTGTGTTTTTTGTTTGTCACGTTTGCCAAAAAACAAAAAATAAATCGTACACCCACTAAAACCTGAGGTCACTCCATGATTGTTTACATTTTATGGAGGAAGCTGTGCTCAGCGGCTGTGTCCAAAACAACAGGCCGGGTCCTCCGGAGGACCCAGACTCCCCGGTCTCGGCGGGCCGGGTCCTTGGTAGACCGGGAAGACCAGAAAAAAAGAGGCTGTGAATTTGGACGGTCTAGCCTCCCCTCCTTACCCCGGTGTACGTCATGTCACCTAGCAACTGTGACGACGCTAAACAAGCAAACTTAAATCAAAGATAGAAAAATATCAATACATTAGCGTTATTAATATCACAAACAATAAAATTAACTTAAAGGTAACATTTGAAGAACTAATTGACCCGCTGTAGGTTCATGTTTATTTCGCGTTTTTATGACGAAAAAATAATATTTAAAAACATGTCCATACAAATGATAAAAGTATTAGAATTACAACCGCTAATTTTTTTTATATCACCATATTTTTATTTAAAACGTATTCTTTTCTCTCGCTTCGTCCACCATTACTAACATAAAAAATCTCCGGTTGGGCCGCAATGCATTATGGGATAYGCTGGGCCRGGAAGGATCCATCAGACCTGTCCTTCGATTCGGGCCAAAGGAAGAACGTATTTGTCGGCCGCATCGGAGGAGTCTTCGGTTTTGGACGTCCTTCGTCGCGGCGCTGTGACGTATGCAGCCGACAAATTCGACCTTCGGAGGACCCGGCCTTTTGTTTTGGACACAGCCAGCGTCTTCAGAGGTTTTCATGTTATTTCCTTCAGTGGTTGTTGGTGCAGCAGCGCCCCCACAGGTGAGGAGGGGAACAGGCTGTTCACAGGCTTTAGTTTGTTGGACACACAGCAGTAAAATGTGAACAAATCCGACAGTTTTGATCCCCAATCGAACTGAGTCTACCAGACTATCAGTTGTGAAAATGACCATACTCACATAGAACCACAGGATACTGAATATATTTGATTATTTTCCTACTAGTACCCACTACCTACTTTATTAAATGATCCAGCAGTTAGTTGGGACTGCTGCCCGTGTAGTTTGTATCTGCATAACTAAATATTGTCAACCGTGGCAACAAAAATTAAACTAAAACAAGCCCAAAAAGCTGATTTCTAGCTTAAAGATATTCATGAAAAATCTTATCTTTGATCTTAAAGAAAAGTTCAACACAAATTGGTTTTAATCAGAAACACTGGGTCTGTATAACGACATATGTGTTGAATAAGTTCAAATTATTCTGTAAGTATTTCCTTAGTTCTGAGTTGATGCGTCGTTGGCAGCAGTTCCAACAGAGATGTTTTGGATCAGGCCACAGGCTGGTCCACTAGAAGACATGTCCAGATTTTCACTGAGATCTCCCTTATTCTTGACTGGTCCCCACTGTATCATGATGCTTTAATCTGGGGTGGATGGTGTCTGGATTCTTTCAGACCCACATAGCAGACAGTGGGATCTTGATCCAGGTCTGGTGTCAAACTGGCATTGCTGGTATAGTAAGTGGTTTATTAACTGGTTGTGGGCCAGGTCTGGCAATAATGTCCCTGTTTTTAAGATGGCATGCCACATCTGGCGTGATTGTGGTTTGGTTTATGTGGTGCTGGCTCATGTATGGACCACCTTTGGCAAACCACATCTGGACCACCAAAGGGTCATCATCCTTTGTGGTATCTGGGCCAAGTGTTAGTGCACTGTGTGGGCCAGAACTGGGCCAGACAGACGCTGCTAAGTGGGTACTATGATAATAGAATCAAGGTCCAACATATTTAAATAGTCTTTTAGGAGACAAAAGCGTTGTTTTTAGTGACAGAAAAGTTATTTTTCTTCAGAGTGGATGTAATGAGCCGTTTCTCTGCTGACAGGAGGTCATAAAAGGAAGTCGTTTTAGTCGGCGCTCGCCCTGCTGTTTCCCACATAACAGCCTCTGGAGAGTTAAGTCATTTTAGTTCACTTCCTGTGGTACTCCAGTCGTTTTTTTGTAAGAACGCCACAGTTTGCTCGACTGTAGAATCAGACTGATGATTCATTGAACACGTTTCAAGTGTTTTTCTCTTTTGGATAATGACCACAAAGCTTCATGTTTGGACTCCTGATTGGTCTAAAACCACTCTGTACTTGATTAGCTTCGTTAACTTGTTTTCTCTGTAACTACGAAGCAGAGCCTCCATTTTGGGCTTTGAGAAATTAGTTGTTGTCGACTTATTATTCAGAAGTCAACACGAGGAAAATTTTCATGTTGTCTAGCCAAAATTATTTTTTATTTATCATAAAGAAGGAAAAAATCTCAAGAAAATTTTTATTTGAAGGGGACCTATTATGCAAAGTTCACTTTTTTAAGTTATTTTTTACTCAACTTTCGGTATGTACTTCTTAAAAAACAGTCCTAGGACCAAAGAAAAATGCACACAGGGGCATATTTACTGTAAGTAAATGTATTTTTAATGTGTATTAACGACAAGTTTTATACTTCTGTCATTTTGTGATGTCACAAGTCGTACAACAACCCACTGGAACCTGCGTTCAGCCCCTTATCTAGCAACCCCGGGTGAAGCTCCTCCTCCTCAGTATAAAAAGCCGTCACGGTTGTTGTTGTGTAATGCTCAGCTCGTTCCACAACAAGCCTCCAATAGGGCAATGGGTAGAGTGTTGGACCAGAAAGTGGAAGACCAGGGTTCAAGACAGGCACGGACACAGTTTAATTAATTATTTATTTTCATTCGTTATGAACACGTTTTCTCATGTACCTCTATTGTTTAGCTTATTAAAGTCTTGTTAAAGCCTATTTGTTCGAGTTTCTGAGGTATTTTGACCACTGCTGCTCCCTGCTCTGGTAACAGCATGCAGAGTGAGCGCAGAGCAGAGGAGGGAGAGAAAAAAAAAGAAGCTTCGACCACGACTCTGCCTCTGGGTCTCATATGGTTGTACAA